TGAATTAAGAGGAATGTTGATGGAATAACTTAAAAATAAGGTATAAGGAAAAAGATGAAAGATGAATTTTCTACTGCAAGATAAAACTGTTAGAAGAAAACACATTATGTTTCGAGAGGAATAAACTGTATACCCTGATAAAAAATAAAATTAAAAAACCCAACCAACAACCTTCTGCCTGTCCTTAACTTGCTCTGTTGTTTCTCTGGTTAAAAAAGAAAGGATTTTTTCTGGTTTATTTCTGGCAGTGCTCGCCATTTCACAGCACATTTAGCACACGCGGAATTGATCAATACAGCTACAGACATAAGACTAGACTATCCATTTACTAACCACAAGAAAACGTCCTGCTCAGCAAAATCCTGTACCTTAAAACACTGAAGTTTTAAAAGGCATTGTTATACGGATGTCAAGACTCCCTCACACCAGCTACACTGAAAAGCTGAGCACTTGTCTGCTAAACAAGTATACCTTGCACACCCTGCAAGAACATTAAAAAGTGTATCTCAGCCTACACAGAGGACTGTACACACACATTCCAAATGTAAGCAGAAAGTGCCTGGCTTGCCATGTAACTACTACTAGAACCATTAGGTAGCTCATAATAGGAATGTTCTGGGTTGGTTTTGGGTTTTTTTTGTGAAAATGATGGAGCTTCAAACGGAAACATATCAACAGTTCCCCCCAACCACTGGTTGCTGCCATAACAATTTTCCTCCTAAAAAAGCATGGGGAAGTCCTCACACACCCCTAGTTCCTCAGGACGCTGAGCTGCTGTTTGAAAAGAAAAGTAGCATGGCTTTTTTGCACTACAAGGCAGTGAGCTACTGAGTAGCAAAATCCAAAACGTTACAAATGATAGCTCGGAACCTGAAAGTCTTCCTTTTCAACCCAATTCTGTGCATCCATCGCACCCCTCACTATCATTAAAGGACGAGCTAACTTTGAGTATTCTAAACTAATGAAGCACTAATTAAGATTGCCATTCACCAATGAATGGTCCGGAATAAGAGAGCTAATTGACGTTAAGAGTATTTCAGTTGGGTTATTCTTATTTAAAGAAACACCATGAAACAGTAATAATTGCATTGCTGGATTACTGTATGTGACACCAGGTGGTTATGTCTCCACATTTGTTCCACATAATTGATCTGAAATCCAAACGCTGCACGCGTTTGAAGTGCTCACGTTATAAATTCTTAAGTATAACGATGAAAACAGCTTCTGCTTTTACAGTCATTGTCATCCCCCAACATTTGTTATCTGAAAAATAGAAAATTTCTTCTCGTTTGTACTAATCAATGTACTAAATTACCTCAAGTTTTCAAGTGCTGACCCAAAACCTTACGTAAAAAGAAATAAAACCAGGAACATTCACTTACCTGAAGAACAAGAGATAAGAAAAACAGCGAACGCCAACTTAGTAGCAGCTCCCATTTTCCAATGCTGTTAAAACATTTAAGTGACACTAAGTATCCAGTTTCCTGGGTCCTGCAAGGTGGGAAATCTCCCTTCTTGCTGAACC